TTACAGTCACACCTGAGATACAGTTTTTGCTTTTATATATATATATATATATATGCATGCACAAAGAAGCTAAATTGAACTATTTTATCACCATAAAAATACCCAGGTACAAAACTTTGTAATTTATATTCAGCAAAATTGTACATACTTTATGAAAAACTATTTCCTCTGCTCGACTACAAATAATGTTTCTGAGTAGTGGAAAAAACTATGTCACAGAACAAGAATTACTATGCTTCTATAACAATATTCCTCTTCAAAAAATGGTTTGTTTAATCCCTTTATATTTTAAGTGCTTCAGGGCAAGGGTCCTATATAGTTCTCTCAATATTGGCTAACAAAATACAGACTGATTGTGGATTATTATGTTTCTTTCAGTGAAATTGTTAAACACATGATATGCATTCTAAAAAAGAAAAAAAAAAAGGTTTATGAAGTATATGGGATATATGGATGTAATTTCTGAACGTGGAAGTTACATTAAGAGATGAACTGCAGTGAGTATCAAGGGAAGTCAGGTGCCCAGTTCCAAATGCATCACTCAAAACCATATTTTAATCCAAAAGACACACAAAGTAATTACAGCGCATCTACCATGCTCCATCATGCAGTATATAGCTCAGAGTGCAAAATGAACTCATAATAAATTATTCAAATGGCCTGGAAGGGTGGGGGGGAAGAGGGAGAGAAAAAAAAAAAAGGCTGTTCAGTATATTTAGAATAATACATTTGCAGCTATTGTACAGTGCCTGGGATCCTGAGGCCACAGGGGACAGGACTATGGCCAAGACTTCTTTCTGGCAAAGCTTCAGATCACTTGTGAAAAGAAAACACTCTGCTCTTCTGGAAAAACAAACCAAGCTACATTTCTTCTCAAATGACAGTGCCATAGATTCCTGACAGGAAATTCAGATCTACACTAACGCTAATGACAAGAGCTCTTGCTCTAACTTGGCTTCAACTACCGTAGGAATTCCACTTCTCAAAACTTTCAAGAACAAGTTTTACTCATTGTTTACATCAACTCTGCAACCTGTGCATACTCACCGATGATTGAAATAGGCTTCCTAGCGAAACGAAGCCTTCCCCATATTCCAACATATTTACTGCGGCATCCTGCTGACCATAACCGAACCACGTATTCTGTTCCGAAGAATACCACTAATACAATTTCCTAAAAGAAACACATAGAGAACTAGGTTAATTCTCTACTTTACAACTTCTATCTTTTTTCAGAGTGTACTAGGAAGCACTAAAATAAAATTTGGAAGGTGACAAAAATGTCAAGTATATCGAAATTATCAAAAGAAACATAGAAAAACCTGTAAGAGTAAAGAAAAGACTAAAAGCAAGTTTAAATACTTCATTACATGCCGTTTGGCTTGTCTACACATACTAAAACTGAAAAGCATTCTGTGCAATTCACTTGGTCTAATTCAAACAAAAGATTTCCCTGACTGAGCCAAAGAAAACAAGCAGAGTCTATATGCAAAAGATGAGTATTTTTGGTAGCATATTTCATTTCAGAAAGAGGTATGCTTCACATTCCATTCACCATATCAGCTTAACCTCCCACTTACTTACACTTTTTCAGTCTTCCTCTAATCTCACACGGATTGAAGGCAGATTTCTAGTACCCATTACCAATAAGTCAGTCTCCAGGTGCACTGGAAACATAGCATGCCTTTCCCATCCTTTTGTCAACAAATAGAGACTTCAGCAGAAATAGAGGTCTAGTCCTGACACACTGCTGGTATCAAGCTATGTGTTAGCCACAGACCCATGCTAAAGTGTGACTTTGGAAATGCCTACAAAGTGATAGGTGTCAAAGACATCTGGCATTCTTGTTGATTAGACAGAGGAACAATTATGACATACTTGGAACTTAGTCAAGTGCAGACAAATCTTGATTTCCTACAGACTGGTTGTGCACTGTATACACAGCATGGTTTCCCTGAGTATCAGGGAGCTGCAAGAATTCTTTACTGGACAACTCGATTAACAACTGGTCACATTCTCTATCAGAGCCAACAGCAGAATCTACTAATTGGAATGGTAACAGTGGCTTGTAATTGAAAATACATGACATATGGAAAAGTGTAAAGCAGAAAAAACAATCATAAGGTATCACACTTACACAGGATAATGCAGATTATGAGACCAATCTGCTTATTTCATAATGTCATTTAATATAAAGAGCAACTGCAGAGAAGATGACATGGTGCTGAACTCTTTATCCAGCCTCCTGACATTTCTGTGGGGTTCACCACTGTTTTTCATAGCAGACTGGCAAATGGGAATCAAGATGGCATCTATGATTATTTTCTAAACTAATTGAAACAACCAGGATACAATCCTAGTCTAGTCAAGATGAATGGGAGTCACATTATGAGCTTCAAAAATGCATGGGACATTGCCCTGAATACTGAGTAAAATCATAGGTCTGTGCACAGCAAAAAGACGGGGAAAAATGTTATACATCAGTCTAACTCATTATTACCTTTTTGTGGCTCTAAACCACCAGTTTCCTGGTGACATAACAAACTGTTAATCTCAGGGCACTACAGTGTTGAAGTCCAACTCTGTGACACTTCTAGAAAAGCTACGAGAACATTAGCCATGACTCTTTCCTTTAGATTTGGCAATCTCATAGCTTGTGCAAGATGTCAGATGCAGCAGAAAAGCTATCACAATTGTTTACAGTTACTTGTATTCCAGCTAGATTTTCAAGATATAATGAAACTGTCCAGATTGTTGTTTGGAATAAACATGAAGCTCAGCCAAGAATCTCTTCTACAGTTTCATTCTGAAATGACCCATCAGAACATTTTTTTTCAACTGGACTATTATTAAATATTTTTCAATAAAATAAAGTCATAACGAGCCTCATAAATGTAAAGAAATGGCATCTGCAGCAGATGCTTTAAGGAAAGCCTGTGTCTTATGACAGAAATGTCAAACAATCAAATTCTCCCTTTGTCCAATTTCACCTAATGTCATTTACAAACCTATAGTGAATGGCAAAATTATGAGCCGAGCTTTACACAAGGTGTTCTTGGTTTGTCACAGTAAAATAAAGCACGAGAGGCCATCTTTTTGGATCAGGCGATTGTATTCATTTCACAGACATGCTCAATAAACTCTCAACATCCAAGTACTTTTCTGTATGCAGAAGGCTAGCATGTCCTCTTTCATCACTACCATAGAGGAAACTCCCTTAACAAGAGACAATAGCAACCATACAGGGAGCAAAAACTGTCCTTCACCCAAAATAACTAATTTGAGGAAGGCATGTATGGCCTCACATCGTATGTGATAGCACAGATAATACTGTTCAGATATCCCCAAAAGCAATTACAAAAGCAAAAGAACAACAAAAAAATTATCTTGGTAGGCAAAGAAAAACCCAAAGGAAAGTTAATGTTTTAGCACAATGAAACCACAAGCAGCACTCAGACCAGGCACCGTGGCCTTGTCAAGATCACAGCTTCAGTTTTATAGCAAGAAGGTAGAAAGTGAAAGCCTGGATTGTGCTTTAAAGAAGCGTGTATTCTCTGCCTAGGAAATTTGCATCGGAGTTGTGCGCGTATGTTTTTTAAAGGCCCTCCATGGTTCATTGGATAACAGGCACACCGGCAAGTATGCAAATGGAGGCTGTCCCAAAGACAATGCGACAGACACGCAGTCAATGGTTACTGTCATCCAGCTCTTTGCGTGACATGCAGACAAGCTTAGAGAACATTGATTGTCCTATAGACCCTGGTGACTGGAGGGAACGACCAGTCGGCTTACACCAAGACACATTTTTCACTCCTGACGTTTTGATAAAGGCTTATTGACCTAAATGAGACCCAAGTTATTCAGGGAACATCGGGGGTGAAAGTGCACAAGCTGTTCTTCATGGTCATACACAAAAACTCCAGGTATCCACTAGCAACTGGCAATTTCCCCTCCCCTGGCCGTGGCTGTGTGACAGACAAACGTGGTTTTAGTGTCTTGTGTTGCATAAATCTAATAAGCAATCTCCTGGGGGTGGGAGAGGATGATGAATTTCTGTCGCTACACACTTATATTAGTGGCCAGAAACTTGCACACAACAAGCAAAAATATATTAGAAAATTATGCCTTCTTGAGCTACTAAAACATTGCCTATATTTTCCTGATTAACAGCTTAACACGAAACTTTACATTAACTAAAAGCATATCAACCTGATGGCTATAGTTCATTAATGCTGGTGGTAATTAGGGTTAATTCCAGTTAATAGGAGTTACCCTGGCAGACAGCAGCAATGCCTCACACCTGAGAATTTCAGCAAATTTGAGTTGCACTACAGATTAATTTGGTCCACTGTTTCTTCCATACTTTCTCCTCATTGCCCATTTTACATGTATCTAAGTGCACTGTGTAACAATTTTGTGCTTCTTACAATGCATGAGCTAGCCTGAAACATGGCTTCAAGAAGCTGATACAGGAAAATAGAAGGATAAAGGGCTGAGCAGACAGAGAGAATGTGAAGAATGAGTGAAATAAGAAACAAAGCAACATTCAGCACTATGGAAAAAATACAGAGAAAATAACTGCCTGTGGGGGTGGGGATTAAAGTACAGTGGAGAAGTTTTCTTAGTTAAAATTACAGACATGCAAGAACTGCACTGTGCAAGGTTATCATTCAATCCTAACCAATTTAATAGTGATCTCCTTTCTACAAGTTGAAAACAAAAATACAATACTGAGACAAAAAACATACACTGACATGGTAAAGAGATCCCTCGAAGATGCGACAGTTGGGTAACTTCATGCTTAAAAGCCTTCTTGCTTAAGAGAATTTTTGTCCTTTTAATTATTGGTTTGTACATGGTACCCTCACTTCTA